ATGTGGTGTTTGCAGGACAGGTGCAGATGATCTGACCTACTAAATGTCCTTGATGCTTGTGCACAACACTTTTCTTGCTAACAATATTGTCAAGATGAGGTCATAGGAAAGATATTTCAATTCCCAAAAGTTAAAAGAACATAATCAAGATAGTCATGGAGACCCTAGAAATTGTCAAACATACAAATCTTTCAAGTGAAAAGGAAAGAGGTAATCTATAGATTGTTGCATTTGTTTCCATCAATGGTAGAAAAGTCAATTTATAGTCAATTGTTTTGATGTAAATAAAAGAAAGCTTCAACTCCATTGAAGAAATTGACTCAATATTATGAGCTTGAATATATTTTTTAAAGGTTTTATTTATTTATTTGACAGAGATTACAAGTAGACAGAGAGGCAGGTAGAGAGAGGAAAGGAAGCAGGCTCTCTGCTGAGCAGAGAGCCCACACGGGCTCGATCCCAGGACCCTGGGATCATGACCTGAGCTGAAGGCAGAGGCTTTAACCCACTGAGCCACCCAGGTGCCCCAAGCTTGAATATTTTTAAAATGAGAAATTTTGATATTTTATGTTCAACACTTTCATTTAATATGTGCTGTCAAATATGTCATGTGGACAAAGTTGACTGGGATGCTGTCAGAGTCTCCAGGTTCCTTCTTTGAAGTCTGCAATCTTGTTGCACTGGCTGCCCCGCTATCCCACCGGCAAATTGGCCTTGACATCAAGGGAGCGCCATGTGGAATCACGACTTCCAGTGATGACATACAGGAGGCTGGATGGTGGCTGGCTCTGTCCACTGCGTCTTCACTGTGGTCCAGGCTGAGTCCTGCTAACCAGTCTCTCATCGCCCTGTTACCACATCATCCTGTCGACCATCATCACCTCATCTCTCATTGCCCCATGGCCCTGTCCCCATGTGCCTTCTCCCTGTAGCCCCATCCTCCGTTATGCTGTCACTACATTGCCCCATCATCTCATCACCCCATCATGTCATTGCCCCCATTATCTCGACATCTGGTCAGCCAGTCCCCAAAACACCCCATTGTCCCAAATCCCCATTATTTTAGTCCATTCACTCCCCTCGACCTGTCACCCCACCTACCCATCTTCCAGATGCCCCATCCTCAAGTCTCCTCATCATCCCTGGTGCTATCACCTTGTCACCCCAATGTCCCATCGTCCCATCATCCTATCTTCCCCAAGCCCCACTGTCCCATCACCACATCTGCTATCGCCTCATCATCCCTTTATTCCGTCACCCTGCACCCCCTTTGTTCCATTGTCCCTTCCTCCCAGCTTTCCATTGTGTGCCCTCCTCCCTACACTGAGCCGGTTGAGGCCATGGCATCAGGTGCACACACGACCCCAAAGCTGGAAAGGCCACTGAACATGCTTCCGCTCCAATCTCAAGTCCCTTCAGGAAACCGATTCTTGCTGACAATGGTCTGGCTGCAGTTTCTGCGTGAAAGCAGGTCTCAGGGTTGTGCCCAGCAACTGCAAGGTGCAGGACGCACCCCTGGCTGAAAATGTCTCCAGCGAAAGTGCCCCACAGATGCTGCTCATTGAGGAGGGTGCTGGAAAGTCTGGGTTTGTGTGGACTATGAAAACCGCAGGGAGGTGGTGCCAGCTGTAGACTACAAACAGCTATGGAAAATGACACCCACGTGCTTCCTGGAGAATCACCGAACTCCTTCATGGCCCACCTGTCTCAGCTAGTGGCAGGAGCCCAGCTCTGCTGCACCCCTGCCTGCTCCCTCGCTGGGCATCCATAGCCCATAGCCCAGAGTGCATGACATCCTCATACTATGAGACAGCTGAAAAGTGTCCCCTCTTACACGTGCCCGAAGGACAGAACCTACCTCAGATTTCCTTGGGAAAGACGGACCATCACCCAAATCCAGAAGACACAAAGCATCTGTTTCCACCACCAGATGCTCCCGCAGGTCTTCAACCCCTTCAGCACAGACCACAGCCAGGCTGCCTGGAGCCACGCCACCCTCCATGACCTCCTCTCCAGCCTTCTTCGCTGCCTGGGACACTGGAAGCCCAGGGAAGAAGACAACCCTGCCTGTCTGTTTGGGGATCGTGGTCCGGAAGGATTTCCAAAGCATCCATCTTTATCTGAAGGAAAAGAAACACAGCTGCTGTGCCGAGGAGGTTGTCAGAGCGGAAATGCAGAGGCCTTTTTCCTCCTTTCACAATCCACAAGTACAGGAGAAAGTGATAATCAGGACTCTCTGTAATCAGTGATATTGTTTGCTGAGCTCTCTAAAACACTTTGTGATTAGCAGGAAAAAAACCCCTATATTCCATTTTTTTTTTAGTTTTTCATTTCATTTTTCTGTAGAACAACTATTGTATCTGTTTCTTATTAAGAGGTATCAATTTTGATTATCATCTGATGAAAAATGAATTATACAACTCACTTACTCATTATTACATTGTTCACATTTTAAGTAAAAATACACTTTCTCCAAGCCAGTGTACATGTTGTGGTCAGGATAGAGGGTAATATAATAAATCCAATCCTTGGTCTGAATTGTTGAGTTTTGTAGAAAAACCAACCTCCTTGGTGGCTCAGCTGGTTAAGCCTCTGCCTTTGATGTGGATCATGATCCCAGAGTGCTGGGATTGAGTCTTGCATCTGACTCCTTGCTCGGCAGGGAGCCCTCCTCTCCCTCTGCCTGTCGGTCCCCCTGCTTGTGCTCCCTCTCTCTAATAAATAATAAAGTCTTAAAAAAAAAAAACCTCCAAGCAATAATCCCATTTACTTAATATCAGTTATGTTAAATGGTGTAATAAGAAAAGGCAAAAATGGAAATCTCTCAGCGGACTCTGGAAGCAGAATGTACAGAAATAAAAACAAAAGCAGTAGATAACTCCTACAGTTGACTGGTAGACACCTGAGTGCAAACAGATATTTGAGTCTGCCATTTATAAGCAATTCCATCAAATTAAAGCCCAGGATTGGAAGTGGTCACAAGGAAATAGAGTATAGAATAGAAAAGAATTGATACTCTTGTGGTTTTTGTCTGACACTTTTACTTCCAAGTACAAAACCACAAACTGAAATCAACTTTGTGTGAAAGTTCTAGACCTTTTGGAAACACTCCTAGAAGAGGCCTTGTTCTCTTCTTTTCCTCCTGGTGACTATTTCTGGTTATGAGGGAATTTCCCTGTTACAATGATGCAACAGTTGCTATACTTAAATCGAAATAGAAAACAGGATCATTTTATTCTGTGGCCTGTCAAATTATTTACTGAGGAAGAGTGCCACCTCCTGTCCAGATGGACTAAGACTGTGACCAAGTCTGGAGACCTGGCTTGTGTTCTCTGCCTAAGGCTGTCCCTGGAAGGTTTTTCTCCAGAGTGGGGGGAATAAAAACCCAATCTTACCTGGAAAGAACTAGCCCTGTTAATGCAATAAGCTTTTATATATTTTTGGAAAACATACTTTTTAAAAAAAGATGTATTTATTTTGGAGAGATAGAGAAGGGCATAATCTTGGGGAGAGTGGCAGACAGAATCCTCGAGCAGGCTCCCTGCTGAGTGTGGAGCCCCACCTAGGGCTCTAGGCGGGGCTTGATCCCATGACCTAGGAGATCATGACCTGAGCCCAAACCAAGAGTTATAAGCTTAACCAACTGAGCCACCCAGGTGTCCCTGGAAAAACATACTTTTTTAAAGAGCAGTTAGTTTCACAGCAAAACTGAGTATAAGATATCAACACTTTTCACAGGTTCCCTGGTTCTGTATTTGCATAGTGTTCCCTGAAATCAACATTCCCCCACCAGACGGAAGAGTTCTTACAATGCTTCCAAGGGTGTAACAGGTAGTTCTTAGGGTGTGAACCAGTCTTCAATATCACAATGGTCTGTGGCTCTCGAAGCTCAAACTTGGAGTAGTCTAACAAAACCTTCTTCCTTAGTATTTTTATTCTCTCACTGGGTTTTCTTGGGTATCACACAAGAAGCATGGACAAGGAATTTGTGGAAGGAACATGAAATGTCTGCAGAGAGTGCAACAGACCTAGGGATGACATGTTACTGTGTTTGGAGGACTTTCTCTCCATCCTCTCCTGAATCTCAAGGGCATGCTGGGACGGGTGGTCTTTGCTTACTCTTGAGCTGCCATTGGCTGTCTCCCTCTATCTGAGCTTCATGTGGTGCATGTTTTAGACTAAAACATAAATAGGTTAAAATTATGATTTAATTCTATAAACCATATCAACACATCAGTAATTATATCTAGCGCTAAACAGGAAAAAATATTTTAACAATAACTTGATGCCTATCTAGTCACAGATGGGGTCAAAGATTATTTTCCTACGTAGGTCCACATTACAACTCAGTACACTAAACACAATTGCCCACTAAATAATTTTATTTATCAATTGCTGTTAGCAAATTGGAATGATTTGAAATACTGAAATACATTGAATTCATTATTACATGTTTGTAGAAATTGTTCATTTGCATACGTGCATTATATATATGACAAATTATATAAGTAAATAAATTGTAGGTCTCTCATCAAATTTAGTTAAACAGTTACACATCAATGGCTTTAAAATTTGACTTTTAGCTTAAAATTGTTAGTCATTCTTAACCCTGCATAGGTAAGAATAAAAAGATTAAACTTCACACTTTCTTTTGTATGTACAACTCAGATATAAGTACAAAACATAACTGTATACATACTGTATCCATGCTATTAACTTTCCTAGAAGGTTCAATTAAAAACATCAAAGGAGACTCTGGAGGCAAGGGCAATCATGAAAAACATGTATACGGAGTTGGGAAACTGTGCTCAAACCAAGGAGAATGTGCAGAAAGGAAATCAAAAAGAGAAGCAGAAAAAAAGGGAAACGTTCAGAAATCGAAAACTCCTATGTCCCCTACTTAAGCCTCACGCACAAGACAAGATGTTCAGAGAAGCTAGAGCCACGGGTCCCAGACGTGCCCACCCCAGCCAGGCCAACAGCATCTGCAGGATACCCCGATGGCCCTGCCCTGCTCCTTCTTGGTGGCCCTGGTGATGCTCAGCTGCCCCTCCCTCGGCTCTCTGGGATGTGACCTGTCTCAGGACCACGGCCTGCTGCACTGGAGGGCCTTGATGCTCCTGCGACAAATGAGGACACTGTCTGCTAGCTCCTGTGACAAGTACACAAACGACTTTGGCTTCCCCCAGGAGGTGTTTGATGGTAAGCAGCTGCAGAAGGCTCAAGCCCTCTCTGTCGTCCATGTGACGAACCAGAAGACCTTCCACCTCTTCTGCACAGAGGACTCACCTGCTCCGTGGAACACGACCCTCCTGGAGGAATTGTGCTCGGGACTTTCTGAGCAGCTGGGCCACCTGGAAGCCTGTCCCCTGCAGGAGGCGGGGGTGGGAGAGACACCCCTGGTGAATGGGGACTCCATCTTGAGGAACTACTTCCAGAGAAT